TTCTTAAATTTCGGATCAGGCTTCTTAAACCACTGCGACGTCTTCACTCCATCTTCGCCAGCTCCAACGAGCGTAACAACACGCTTCGGATTGTGACCCCCAGCATCATTGATAGCCTTGAGAAAGATATCGTTGAGCCTGTTGACCTCAGCGCCATGCTCAGCCGTAGTACCTGGAATCTCATTGATCGTTTCAAAAGCAACCTTCTCGCTCTTACAAGCAAGCTTCTTGCCAATCTGCTCCCACAACTTTCCAAGCCTCTCCTCAACGGCTGTGACATTCGTGTTCGCTACTGTCAAATCGGCCCAAGTCCAAGAATCGTGGTGGACGTTGACAATGGCGTACAATCCGCGGTCTGTGACCATGTCAACGACATCTGATACACGCTGTAGCCATACGGCATCGACGGTCCAGTCGGGCGATTGAGAGGTGAAGTGGTACGCCCAGGTAATAGGAATTCGAATGCTCTTGAACCCAGCTCTTTTAGCATCGTCGAATGTGCTTCCTACAACAGGTGGGTTGTTCCAGCTGCCTTCAGTCTCCACGGCATCGAGCGTATTGCCAACATTCCACCCCGGATTCAGCTTTGCGAAGAAAGTGCCGGCTGAGATCGACGCGAACTTTGAACTCGAAGGGCACTTTACGCCAGTGCCGTTCGTCGCTGCCTTGTGTTAGCCAATATTCCGCTGTCGAGACCATGGGGAAACGTACATTGAGCGACAGCAAAAGCGCTGTTTAGCAGCACTGCTGCGCTTGCGTAAGAGATTCTCATTGTGATACTTGAGAGCTCTGACCGACTGTTTCTCAGAGAGGCCAGGAATAAGTGCAAGATATACACTCTGTCCCATCTCTTTGGCGCAATTAACTCACCTCACATTTTCTTCCATATAGCCTGACCCACACTCCCCTCGCCACCTCTCTACAAGCCTCGCATGTTAATGAGGTTGTTACCCCAAGTTGTCGCCGCTTGCGGTTAGCGCGACAACCAAGCTTCCACTTTCATTTGCTTATATTGAAAAGCCGCCTTCTTACCCGGTTTTCCAGCGCGGAAGCAAAGGCATAGAAGGCGCCTGGAAGGAGATAGCGAGGTCGATTGAGACAATTCCATTGGTCGTTGCTGTGTTTGGTAGAAACATCGCGTCCTAGCGATATTATAAGCCCCAGTCTGGGTTCATATGCAGGTCCTGCGGGCCTGACTCCAAATTAGCCTGGGAAGCGACATTTCTCCACCAAGGATTTTGGCACTCCTGTGATCACGGTTTGGTCTCTTGCCCTCAGGGTAAGTAGCTCACATGCGAACGCCGAAGACACTTATCTTCAAAGTAGTAATACAGTTATTCCGTATCCAAAACAGTTTGGCGAGAACGCGGCGTGACAGCTGCTGACTGCGTGTAAAGTACTCAAGTCACCACACGTGTGATCAGTGCATACAGGCGCGATAGTTCCGATACTCAAAAGGCAGACAAGACCCCCAGTAAAAGATCTAAGACAACGATGTATCAAAAGGTGAAGGCCTCCGAGTACCATCAGCGTACAGTATGCCATTGGGGGAAACAAGAGAGAGAACTAACAAAACAATTGAAGAAGAGATTGATTCCTGGAAGACGTCCCGACCGCCCTAAGAACGCCGAAAAAGAAGAGAAAGACCAGGTACCAAGAAGGTCATTAACCCACTGTGTCGCACGAGACACGAAACGTTTTCAAGGAAAAACGCCGCATATGATCCTGTCCAAGGTCTTATCAGACATGTCGTCTGCAGAAGGACGGCCTCTCAACTCGCGTTGGCGTTTGTACTCCTTCGCGGCAAAATGGCGTTCGTGCATCTTGCGATAATAAATTCTCCGGTCTTCTGACGAATCACGATGCGGCTTGCATAGCTCTCTTGGCACGTGGTATAGACGCTCGCGCTCGGAACCCTACTCGGGGCGGGGCCTCTTGGCACCGTGCGGGTTCTGCCAGCTGCCATCGTTGCTGCCTTGGTTGCCTTGGAAGAATCCTGGGTTGAATGCTGGGTTGCCGCCGAAGCCACCTCCTGTAGTCTCAGTGTTAGCGATCATCCAAGCGAAGGACCAAGAAGTATGGGGGTTAAGTCACTAGTCGGAGGATGAAAGTTTCTCGACGTACCCATTCCTCCCATCATGCCCATGTTGCCACCACCCATACCCATCATGTTGGCTCCCATACCCATCATGTTACCGCCCATAGGCATGTTCATGCCACCCATGGGGTTCCCGCCCATAGGGTTCATGCCCATGTTGCCGCCACGACCACGATTACCCATGCCTCCGCGCATGTTACCGCCCATCATACCACCGCGGTTGAAGCCGCCCCCGAAGTTGTTCATACCGCCCATAGGGTTGCCGAAGTTGCCCATTGGTGCTTGAGCCCCGTAGCCTCCCATGTTGCCGCCCATGTTACCACCAGCAGGAGAGAAGTTACGGTTATTTTGGTAGCCCATGCCTCCTCTGTTAAAGTTGCCACGGTTGTTGTTGTATCCGCCTCTGTTGTTATATCCACCTTGGTTGCCGTAGTTGCCGGAAGTAGCGCGATCGTTCCTACCCTTGTCTCGCGCGGGGACATCCTTTGGTAGTGTCTTAAACGGATTGACGTGTGGAGGACTGAAGATCGCGGTCGGCTTCTTCGTGTGGGCTTGGTCTCGGAAGAGGTTCTCGATCTGGTGCTTCAAAGCAGTGGCTGCTTGGGGTGAGTTCAAGAGAGCGAAGACTTGACTACGAGAGTGATTAGCCTGGTATGCCTCAAAGCAATAGAGTGACTAACCCTTTGCTCTTTCCGTTGACCTTGTGCTCGTTGAAGGTTACCTCGACAAGTTCGTCTTCGCAACCACTCTGATTAGCCCATCCGCGGATGTCTTCTTCGCTAATCCACCAGTTTACGTCGTTGATCATAAGCGCTGCGGTTGCGCCGGGATCAGTCGGGCGATCATCGTCCTCACCCTGCTTGCGCTTTGTACCCTGTTGCTGGGGTGCTTGTTTGTGAACGTCGAGGCCAGCCGCACCCCCTGTGGACGCTATCTGTTGGGTGCTCTGGTCGTGATGGCCATCCCCGTTTGTTGCGTCCTCTGTGGACTCTTTGATCGCTTGATCGCCGTTTTCCGCCTTCGTGGTATCCGGTGCGTTGTTTGATGGCGCAGCGTTCGCATCTGTGTTGGGAGTGTTGGCGTCGGTTACGGTGGTGTCTTGCTGCGCGGCCGAATCTTGGTAGGAGTCATCGCCGTAGATGTCGATGTCGAAGTTGTCGTCGTCAGCCATGTCTGCTGTGGTATGTCAAGTCAACTGCAGTAAGCGATGAGGTTTGTTCCGGTATTCTTTCTTTAATTCGCTTTTAGGTACTTGATGTGCTAGTATCAATAGCCAAAGTACATGCAATTCTGTGATTGGCATACAAATCAGCATGACGAGATAGAGGGATGATAAAAGAAAGTATGCGTTGGCCGTCCGTTGCAATGCGAAAGCGAGAGAAGAGACAAACAGCGTAGAGTGTAAGGCCATACGTACAGTGCCGCTGTCGGCGCGTGGTGACAAGGTCCAGAAAGACAGCTCAGTGCAAGACGGGGTAGTCCGATCGCCCCTGGCAGATGCGGAGATGTAAAAGGTACAGGATGTGGTGTGAGAGATGTGTGTGTGAAGCCTCAGCCTGCCTCCTGCGCTTGCTATTGCTAGCTTCCAGTACAGTATGCGCGAAGCGAAGTTGCTGTATACAATGTCCCTTCGAATTGATGCGGCGCTGAATCGTGCGCTACCAGGAATAAGAAGAAATGGAGAGCAACGAGGACGAGCTCGAGTCAAATGCCAAACACGTTCCCCTTCAACCCTGGACTCTGCGCGTGAGTCGACGTAAGCAAGCGGGTCGCGGTCGCGTGTCTCGTGGGCGGCTCTGTTGCGTAGTGAGTGACTGCGTTGAGTGACAAACCTGGGGAAGTGGGTAGAGTCGACTTGTCGGCGCGAGCACGAGTGTTGGTGAGCGACAGACGACGACGCGGATGCGATAGCTCGAAGTTAGCGTCGCCGCTTAGCGTGCTTGGCGCAACACCTACCCCTGTCGGGTTTCTCCGCAAGGCCAGATTGCGTCCGTCTGGTAATTTGGCCGCTGCTACCCTGAGTTCGCGACTTCTCCAGCAACCCGCGATACATTCAACTCGACGAATCACTCACGACAACGCCATCCACCCCACAAATCAACAGTCACGCATCAGTCGCCATGGAGAACGTCAAGGAATTCGCTGAGTAAGCCCGACGGCAATCGCACGATGAGAGAGCAATGGCTAACCGCCGCGCAGTATGCCCGCTGAGTTCCTCAGGGAGGGTACTCTGTTCATGAACCGCTGCACCAGTACGACCGCCTCTGCAAACCGATAACGACGTATCTAACACAACCACAGAGCCCGACAAGAAGGAGTTCATCAGGATATCGCAAGCAGTAGGAATCGGTTTCCTGATTATGGGTTAGTGACAGGTCGCGTGTCCGCCCCAGATTCATCAGACTGACCATTCTGCAGGAGTCATCGGCTACGTTGTCAAGCTGGTCCACATCCCCGTAAACAACATCCTCGTTGGCGGCTCATAGACGCTACTACGCCACAACACATCGATTCTCTTCCCTTTGCATCTTCGACCACGACACCGGTCCGTTCATCATATCATCTTGTATTAGGGGCATTGGGAGTGGAAAGACCGGCCTTTACCTTGTGGGCTCCATAGTGAACATATGGCATACTCAAAATGGCTGTACAGTACGGAGGTTGGGTCAGCGGGAGTTTGATTATATCCAAATTTAGGCATGCGCAACATTCACGTTGATGGAGTTTGCGGACCACTTGACGTGATGTAAATTGAACTCGTGGGTTAGAGTCGACTGATCCAGAACCGAAAGTCCCTGCATATATACAATAACCTCCCAAACTCCTTCCTAGATCCCTATATACAATGCCTACGTTCGCCCGTTCATCGGAAGTCTGGTAGGGTCAGCTGATGCAGGAGCTTTCACTCCTCATTCATCATGTCTTCGTACCACATAGGATGCCTTCTCGTCCTGCCCTCGGTATTGTAGAGCCGCTCATCATGATGTAACATGTGATTGACCCGCCTTCCAATCTTCGGCTCCGCCTCATCTTCTTCTAGGCCGTCATTCCATGTGTGGACTGTGCAAGTTCCCTGTGAGGTTCCCCAGCCATTCCATGAAGTCGCTAGCGACGGTCAGCAAAAGATCAAGGAGATAGAGTACATATAGGTGCTTACCAGCAATCATGGGCGCATTGGGATGCCAGCTTGCATCTCGAACACAGGTCTGCCATCTGCCTTCATTCCTACCCCAGTGATCGTACATGCCAGAGAGAAGATCTGTTTCACGTGGCCTTGAGTTTCTGGTCGCTTTGAGAACATCGACTTTGCCAGCAAGTGTCGCATCCAGGTTCCAGATGTAGACCGATCCATCGTAGCTGCCGGAGTAGACATATCGCGAGTCTGTGCTTCCGGGTGGTGAGAAGTGGCATCGGATAAGCGTCTTCAAGACCTTGTGCCCTCGGAAGGTGACAAGCGAGCAGTCGTGTGGATGTGGGCGGTAGTCATCGAAGTCGTACGCGTTGGATCGGTACTCAAATCGGTTGGTGTATGCGTTGGGATCAATGCGATCAGCCTTCTCTTTCGACATCATTTTCCTCAGATCCCAAAGCTTAGCGGTTTGGTCCTTGCCGTTGCTAAGTACATATCGCCCATCACCCTTGCTGTCGACATACGTCAGTCCCTCGGTGTGGCCGAGGAAAACACCAGCTTCTCGGCCATCGCCCATGCTTCTTCGGTCCCAGACCTTGAGTGTAGTATCGTCTGAACCAGAGTAGAGAATATGAGGCGAATTAGTGTCACCGAAGCAGACCGCATTCACGTCGTCCTGATGACCCGGGATGCGCAGTACAGACTGACGACGCTCTATGTCATACACATAGACAGAGCTGTCTCCTGTTCCTGCTACAATCTCACGTCCATCGCCAGAAAACCTTATCGACCAAATCTGGAACAGTCAGTTGCGAAGTCGAATATGATGTGTGACTATCTTACACCAAAGTATCCGCGGAATCCACGCGGGGCCGGTCGACCCAGGTCTGAAAAATCGAGGTAATGGGGCTCAGAATCGTCACTGGGGTCCGTGTGTGCTAGCGCGACGATGCTTCGAATTGAGCTGTATGCCAGGAAACGGTTGTCTGGACTTAATGAAGCATCTGTGATAGTCCATTGGCCGCCATCATATCTCACTGTCTGCGACAGGTCAGTTTCGCAGGGCTTCAAATTCAAGGATGCTACTTGCCTTGTAATACTTCCAGTCATATGGATTTGACGTGTCGTACATGCGCACTTTGAAGTCCTGAGCGCATGAGAAGAAGAAATTACCATCGTCAGAAAATTGTCCCGAATAACATCGCGCATTGTAGTGTATGATTGTGTCGGCCACAGACTCGGGTATCATGTCTTGCCTCAACAGCTTCGTGGAATTCTTTTGGCGACCATCACCACCGATGCCTAGCTCTCGTCGCATGATGTTGTACGCTAGCCTCTTTTTCCTCTGGAGCGTATCCTCTGGTCGTGGGTTCGTTCCGAAATTACCTCCTTGCATCAACTCCTGGCCCTGCTCGCTAGGAACCTTTTCGAATAGGTCTCTGCCTCGTGGCCCTCGCCTTCTGCCAGAAGACCGTGTGCCGATAGGATCATAGCCGGTGCCTGCATTGCTGTCCTCTTCATCTTCCTGCTCATCATCGTCAAACCTGTGTCGCCGAAGCCCGGATCGAGGAATTAAATCGGTGGCGAATATCCGCCCTAATCCGGCATGCCCAAGTAACTGCATTATCTGCTCACGTGTAATCATGACTGGCTGCCGAGGGTCGTCTGGATCTTCGTCATCCCCGTCCTCGTCTTCTTCTTCGTCCTCGTCATCATCATCCTCGTCCTCATCCTCTTCTTCGTCGTCATCTTCGTCGTTATCGTCGGTATATTCGAATGCGATCTCCACTCCGCTGAGGTTACTCAATCGTTCGGCAGCATCTTGTGATAATGTCAGTAAATAGTTCACGAGCCATACAAAACAGATTAATATACCATGAAAGCTCAAATCGCCTTCACCGTCCTCATTGTCGTCGGTCCCCTCTTCTGCGGGCACAAAGTCCATGTCGTCATCATCATCTTCAGTATCGCGCCAGAACGGGTCGTTTGGATCGTAAACAATGGTTCTTGCGGTGTCCTCCTCGGTAGGTGGGCTAGTCGGGGCGTGCGAAGAACTCATATTTGCGAAAAGCTGTCCAGCAGATGTCGCAAGTTGTACCGAGGTGATTATGATGGTGATGCTCGTAACGGGCGGGAGCTTTGTTAGTAGTGACGGTAATAAGACGGGCTATCTCCGTTTTCTCCACTCTTATCGATAGATTGAGCCACGCAGCACGGCTGTCCACATGACGACACGTTATTGGCATGAGCAAGTAGAAGGGTATGTATTGCATGGCGATTCATTGATTAAAAAGCGTGGGTAAACAAAAGGGTATCTAATCTCGAAGAAAAGCATGTCAGCAACCCCGCATCGAGCTCAATCTGTATCAGTATCCTGATGCGAAATCATGAGTTCGGGATCCGGATCATCGTCTTCAGAGTCAAAGTACGTTTGTCTAGGCGACGCAGCCTTCTGCGGCGGGGACCGACTGATCCTGATCGCAGATCCCGTCATCTCCTCTGGTTCCCTAGCCTCAAAACCATCATGATCTATCAACGGTTCTGTAGCTCGTTCCTTGCCCTTTCGTTTCAACCCAAGAGTCTCTTCTAATACATTCTTGCCTTGGTTGAACGCTTCCAGCTCGGCACCGATAGCGCAAACTAGGAGGTTCCAACTTCGCGACGACGCGAACTCTAGCTTCTCTTCGAGGTAGGCAATTATTGCATCCATTTGCTCGAGAAGCTTATTGGGATCTGGGGCGCTTTTCTGTGTCGTGGGCCGCATAGAGTCTTGTAGGGTTGTCTCGTAGTCTGCCACCCTTTTCATGACGTCGGTCCATAGTACTGCGCCCTCGTCAAGCGCACCACGATCTCTATCGACCTCTTCGCACCTCTCAGCCAGCCTTGTGTACTCGTCTTGCCAGTATTCGCGTGCCATTTCGAGTGTTCTTCGCTTCGCGGGTAGTGTGAGGAACGGAGAAGACGACATTGGTACGTGGTCCGCGTTTGGAGGTCGCGCAAGGAAGTTTGAAACCTCCCGATCTAACAGTGACAGCGATGTCTTGTACGATGCCAATTTTGCTTCCACGGAGTTTTCCGTATCAGCCAGCTCTTCTAAGACTCGCCGGTGTTGTCTCTTCAGCGCCCATAGTTCTTCTTCCTTCTGTCGAATCTCCTGTTCCAGCTTCGAGGCTTCCTTTTGTAAGGTTTGTGCTCTTGCGCCAGCGTCTTCTCTTTCTATGTCCCTGATCTTCTTCGCGAGCCGTACACGCTTCTGGCTCCACGCATCGGTCTTCTCCACTGTGCTTTGCAGTTTCCTCAGATCCTCATCTAAGAGGTCTAGTTCCTCAGCCTTGATACTGGCAAGTTGCCTTATCCGCTTGGATATGCCTTGCCTTGCTGTGTTTAGTCCCACTTTCTTGCTCCGTGTTGCGCTGTGGCCGTTTCCGCTGTCCTCGCCTCGGTCACTGGACCGAACACTGCTAACAGTTGGCGTGGTGCTTCCATTCGATCCGCGACCGTCTCCTGCGCGAAGACTGCCCATCAGGCCATCAGATTGTGCGTCAAGTAGCTCTTGCAGCTGTTGTTCGAGATGTCTAGCTCGCCGTTGCAAAGCTAGTAGGTCGTCGGGAACGCGCGGCGGCGGAGAAAGGCTGGATTTTGGGGCGTGCCATAGTACGGAGGAAGTTACAGGCGGTGGTATTCGAGGAGAAGGCGGAGAGTTGTAAAGTGGTAGTTCGTGTTCGCGCGCGTGAGGGTCTTCGAAGGACTTTCTGAATCGCCGCGGCGGTGAGAGCGAGCCGAGGACCGAATTAAAGATAGACATTACGATTAACCATGAGATTCCTGTGCGCTCTATGGTATGTTTGAAGAGGCGTTGGTGAGAAGTAGTTGTGTATGTGGTAGCGTTGGTACCTCGCGCATGTGAACGAGTCAGGCGCGCCCCGAGAGCTCTTAGTCAGCCACGTCATCCCAGACAGCTTGGGAGCATGAGACATGCGATGTTGATGGACAGAACGATCAAGCAGAGCACGAGATGCAATCAGTCATGAGAGATTTTCGTGAGGAATAAATGCGCTGGCAAGCTAGAGACGTATTGTCGTACTTGCAAGATTCGCGTGAAGTACCCTGGCAAATGACTTCGGATTGTTGCATCTTGGGGTATGAAAGAATCTATCGGTACAGAGAGGTAATCACTTGGCTAAACGCAGCTGTACAGCCTCCAAGAATGGCGCCTTGCAATCGTGGTGATCACCCGTGGACTATTCACTTGGGCATACCACATGCAGCCTGGTTGCGCCAAGCCACATGCGGCTAGCGTCATCCACGACCTAAGCGAGCATTTCAATATCGAAAGTTGCAAGTGCGACCGCGACAACAGCACGCACTAACTCCCAGGAACTCCAAATCGTACGCTCTCCCACCTCTCCTCACCCTCTCAGCCGTCGCTAATCGCAACTCCAGCAGCCGTATACCCCACCAACATACATCATGGCTGACGCTCCTGCCCCCGCTCGCGGCGGATTCGGTTCTCGTGGAGACCGCGGTGGTGACCGTGGACGTGGTCGCGGACGTGGCCGTGGCCGCCGTGGCGGAAAGACCGAAGTACGCATACAAAATATCTTGGAGGCATAAAGCGCGGGAAATTGACAATTGGCATAGGAGAAGGAATGGCAGCCCGTCACCAAGCTCGGCCGTCTCGTAAAGGCCGGCAAGATCAAGAGCATGGAGGAGATGTACGTTCTGAGGCGACAATGGGGTGGGAATATTTACTGACTGTGGACAGCTACCTCCACTCTCTCCCCATCAAGGAGTACCAGGTCGTCGACTTCTTCCTTCCCAAGCTCAAGGACGAGGTCATGAAGATCAAGCCCGTCCAGAAGCAGACCCGTGCCGGTCAGCGTACCCGCTTCAAGGCTATCGTCGTCATCGGTGACTCCGAGGGTCACATCGGTCTCGGTATCAAGACCTCCAAGGAAGTCGCAACTGCCATCCGCGCCGCCATCATCATCGCCAAGCTCTCCGTCGTCCCCATCCGAAGAGGTTACTGGGGTACCAACCTTGGTGAGCCTCACTCGCTCCCCACCAAGGAGAGCGGAAAGTGCGGTTCCGTCACTGTCCGTCTCATTCCCGCTCCCCGTGGTACCGGCCTTGTCGCATCGCCCGCCGTCAAGCGTCTCTTGCAATTGGCTGGTGTTGCCGACATCTACACTGCCTCTTCCGGTTCCACCAAGACCCTTGAGAACACCCTGAAGGCTACCTTCGTCGCCGTCGCACACACCTACGGTTTCCTCACCCCCAACCTGTGGGCGGAGAAGAAGCTCACACCATCCCCGCTTGAGGAGTACAGCGACATCCTCCGCGAGGGTAAGAGGTACTAGAGGGTGTTTCTGCATGGGTTCTTTTTAGCATTCAGGGTTATGGCGCGGGGTATTACATTCAGGACCTCACGTATGTATCCAACGATAGTGCTGGGTACACCGGCATGAAAATGAACAACTTTCAATGATGACCTTGAAGTCTTGACACTCCATGTGCTTGTCTCGCGAAAGCGCGTTTATTCCGAAATGATGGGACTGTACGTTCAAAAAGATGCACCAATATATGTGGCAGGTGTAGCCCGTTGTGAGGTCTTTCCAACACCTACGCGGGTGTAATTTCCACAGATGCGCCTAAATTCCTGCATGATCTACCGTCTACCCTAAGAAGAATCTCGTCGTCGACCAGTCGTATCTTAAACGTGCGATCCACCCTGAACATGTACACTACATGGTGTTTTCTGGTATCAATCCAAAACGCAGAGTATACCTTCACGATATAGTATGACTTTATTGAAAACAGCTTCGTTGTACGAGCACGTCGACGAAGCACCCAAGGATGATATGGGAGTGACTAAGTTATAGATGCTACACGCATCGACATAAGGGCTCTGGAACGTAATGTCATTGGGTATCGAACATACTCTTAATTATCCGTACGAAGCCATAAACTGCCAATACGATACTAATTATATACAGGAAAAGAAGTTATACCACGTGTTTCGTCACCATTGCAGCCTCGAAGATAAGCACAGTAGCATCGCCACGATGCGACAAACTACGACTGCAACAGCAGCATGTCCTTCCCATGCAACACAAACTGACCAGGCCACAATGAGCTCATCATCTCGTTGACCTGGTGTAACGCGTGATTCACCAGAGCCGGACCGGCCAATTTAGCGTAGGGCATGTTTTCGAGTGAAAGAGGCATGCAGCCTGGCGGAGCCGGAGGTAGTACTATTTCATGGTTTTTCTTTAGAGTTATCGTGTCCATGCCACTGAGGAAACAGCGTACGCTGACCCCAAGAGCTCCCAGCATGTTGTTGACTTGTTCCAGGGCACTGTATACTAAAGCTGGACCGAAAAACTTTTCGTACTGGAGAGGGTCGAGACCGTAGGGTTGACGGGCTTGTTGAGGTGCTGAGGGTTGAACTTGCGGTGGTGCTGCTGGTGCGGTCATGGGAGGCGCCTGCTGGTAATGTTGCGTGACAGGTGCTGGCGCGGTTCTCATGGGCGCCGGCGTAGATACGACCGCCCTGTTGTTGAAACTTCTCACGTCGGCATTGCGACGAGGACCTGATTTCGCTGCCATGATGCGCCTCTGAATGGCAGCCACCCGTTCTCTCTGGGTCTTACACATGCCCTCGCGCATCCAGGCTGGAAGCTGGCTTCTGATGTCGACTTTCGCCTGCCTGCCACTCAAAATTTTCGCCGCTTTTCTTTCCATCTCTCTCAGAAGATTAGCCTCGGCCAGTGTCGGTTGGCGGACGCTAGAGTGTGGTATGCATAGACGAAAAAGGTCGATATACTCGGGAGTTGAGACAGGAGTTTGCGAGTCAGTAAGTTGCGTTGCTGTTGGTCCTGCAGTTGCCCGGCTTATACTTGGTGAATTGGACTGAGCTGGCGTGAGCAGGGTCTGGTGCGCCGGCGGGATCACAGCGAGGTTACTTGGTGCATCATCGGTGGGTTCAGTCTTGATGACTGGCTCTCTATCGATGATGTCTTGACCTACAACTGACCGTTCTGGCGTCTCTTCAGGTTCAGAGTTCATGCTTTGATCCTGACTATCCCTCATGTTGTCATTGATAAGCGCCCATTCGTATCTGTCATAAGGGCTGGGAAGTATTTGAGGAACTGCCGTACTGCGGTCACCTGCGGACTCGCGACTATGCGTAGTACGCACGCGTTTTGCTGAACGCTCATGCTGAAAGCCCGATGGTCCTTCGTTCTCTTCCTCGACATGCCGACGTTTGCCTGAGTTGGCGTATGCAGAGAACGGCATGGGCGGATCTGTGGGTTCAATTGGTGCAGCTGGGACAACCGCATACTTGCTTGTAGAGAGTCCGCCAGGGCGGACGGCCCTATGGTTCGTAAAGGATTCATTCGATTGATTCGAGGTCGACGGGGCTGGAATTGACGTCTGAGCAGTCTCGGTTTGTGATGGGAGTCCCTCGGATGCCGATTGGGCTGGGATGAATGTGATGTGAGGTTCCGTATTTGTAGGCACCGATGAGGAGTGGCCGGGGCGAATCTTCATCTCTTTACGGATGGAGCCATCGGGGCGCATCGATGCTGGAACGTAGCATACGCCGGCCGCGGAGGTTGTTGTGTTATCTACAGGAAGCGTCGAGTTCTGGTTGGCATGATCGAAAGCCGGTGTGGTTGAGTAAAACCGGTGACTGTTTTCTGTCGCTTGTGAAGTGGCAGTCTCTTGTACAGCAGCAGTCTCTTGTACAGCAACAGTCTCCTGTACAGCAGCAGTCTCTTGTACAGCAGCAGTCTCCTGTACAGCAGCAGTCTCCTGTACAGCAGCAGTCTCCTGTACAGCAGCAGTCTCCTGTACAGGGACAGTCAGTCCTGGAGCGACAGCCTCTTCTGAAGCGACAGCACCTCGCAGAGACTCAGTCATCTCAACCGCCGGCTCTCGATTCTCACCTCCCGCTGCCGTCTCGTCCGAATGAGCGTGAGAGATGACCTGCTGTGGCACCTCCATCTCACCCGCCGATACGTGACTCTCGTCTTCCTGAGTGTGAGCGATGACGTGCTGTGGCTCTCCCATCTTTCTCAACTCAACGACACTCTTGTGTAGGTTTTCCATCTGTCGTAATAGACTTTCTTCTTGGGCAACACTGAACCACTGTTGTGGTGATGGTGGTGGTGGTGTCGATGTCGATGTCGGAGGTGCATCTATGATCGAGGCGATTGACATCGGGTCTGGAGTGGCTTCCTGCGCCGCGTCGAAGAAGCCCCCGCTCTTTCTCGATTGCGCGCGCGTGGATCGGCGTAGGGGAGTCGCGGCCTTCGCGGGCGATGCTTTGGCAGGAGCGCCCTTCTTAGATTTTGCTGCAGCACGGCGCGGAGTGTTGCGCAACGGCTTCTTCGAGGTCTCAACCTCATCTTCCGCGCCCTCGGCATTGACGTTGTCTGATGCCATTGGCATGACATTTTCTTTACCAACTCCTTCCTCTGCGCCCGGTGTTCCTGCCGCCGTGCTGCCTCTGAGCCAGCGCATCATGACGTGTATTGTAGGCGATTGCCGAATGTAAGTCGAGGTGGAAGGCGCGACCGCTGGACGTTCGGAAAGGGCACCGGAAGCGGGAAGGCGATGGAATTGCTTTTTTGGGTTGGTATCCGTTGTAGTACGTCTTGCGATCTTGTGCGCGTCACTCAGAGTCGACGGGCGACGGTGCTTGACATATGCGACAAGTTGCGAACGGTGGGTTGCGGATGCGCGTTGTGCCCTGTTAAACTTCGGTCGCGAGTGCAACGCGCTAGCAGCCGACTGTGAGGGGATGTCCTGCAACTATCAAGGAAATTTGCGGGAATGGTGTTCGAATCGATTTTCTCTTGATAATATCTGTTGACCTTGAGCTCACTACAACGTCTGGTACTGTTTGGATGGTATCTATAGCCCCAAATGGTCACAGCGACAAATCGCTTTCCCCTGGATTGTGCGGGGACGATGACGTTGGGTACTTATGCTGCATGCGCGTTGCGCCGCCACACATGATCCGGTGTTTCTGACACGAACTGCAACCTCTACGTAGATCGGCCATCCGCAGAGGTTCCATGCAAGAAGGAAGTCAAAGGGTCGCTGAAGTGCTGATAGTGCTCCGTTGTCAGAGTTCATGTAGACGCTCATCCAGAGCTTCTCCCCCAGCGACACACGAGACCTGTAGCGATACAGCCAAGAAAGCAGTTGAGATGTTTCAACAAATTCAATGTTACATCGAACAGAGACTACATAGGTGCAACAAATGAAACTATAAAGAGTGCTTGACAGAGACCACGAGTCTACCTGCACAAGACCCAGAGAGCCCGCTCCTACTACTAGTAACACAAGAAAGCCACTCTGGCTACAGATTCCCTGAAAGAAAGTACCAAACATCCAACAGTACAGGAATTGCATCTACGATTCTACCAACCGTAGCTCCTTCCCACACAAAGTAAACTTCAGCCCCCTACTAGCAAGCAAGTTGGACGCCGCTTGAGCAACAGCAGCTCCAGACTCGTCATTCAGCATCAGCATGCCCAAAAGCTTCTCAACCTTAAATCCCTGCTCTGCAGACACCGACGGTGACTTCACAGTCCTCGCCCGACAATTCTTGATCTTCCTGCCCTTAGGAGTCGATGTTGGATTAGCTTTCACACCCTGAGCATTAAACCCCGTCTGCGCATCCTTCATCCTCTTCTGCAATTCGCCGATGCGGCGGTTCTGTTCGGGCTTGAGACTAAACGTGTAGGAATGAGGTGGGTTGTTCGGCATTGCCTTGATCTCGGAAAGAATGTCGAAAGACTTTGCGCCATGGTTGAAGACCCAGTCGATTCTAGTTTGGATCTTGCTGAGGTACTCGAGTTCGAAAGGTCTGAGGTTGACTTTTGTGCATGTCTTGATGATTTCGATTATGTCGTTCTCGGGTGCGCGGTGCATGGGAGGGGTTTCTGTGTGGGAGCTGGAGGGCTCCAACTTGATGCGAGGAACGCCGGTGCCGGAGACTGAGGAGGATGGCTCGGCTTTGATGCGCTTGTTTGTTGGTGATCCTGTACAGAAAGAATCATCTTCGAGGAGTCTCTTGGATGCCAGACGGTTCAATGCCGCTGGAGACGGGTCGGCCTGGATCTCTGGTTGGGCGTATCTGCTAGACGCCATGGAGTTCTGAGTGATTTGAGCTGCCGTCGTCTGAGCAGCTGGGGCAGTCGCTGCCTGAGTAATTGGAACCGGTGTCGAAAAAGCTGACCCAAGGGCTGGTACAGCCTGACCGACAGTGACGTTGTTCCCTTGTAGTACCCCGTTCGTCGTGCGTGTGGTTGCATCCATAGTACCTACGGTGCTCTCTCGTTCCTGCTGGCGATATTCCTCTTGCTTGATATCAAACGGTTCCGGGATCCGCTCCATCTTAACATTGCTCGGACCTGGCGGATAAGGTGCAGCTGACATCGTCGGACTCGGTCCGGGAGTTAAGGTTTGCTTTTGGTCGAGGCCTGCCTCCGACTTGATGTAGACATGGCTTTGATCGTACGAAACGTGCGCCATCGTAGTTATGAATGAGCTAAAGGTGACAAAACCTGAACTGGGTGTTCGGCCTGTTCTTAACGTGCTTTGGCGTGGATGTGGCGGAGAGGGGTAAACGGCCGAAAGTGATGCTATCAGGGATGTGTGTCGGAAATGGCACCGGTAGGTAAGGATCGTCGAAGGAAGGAATGTGAAATCGACGATGCGATTAGTTGTTTGAAATGCCGTCGTTGCAAGGTTACCCGATGCTATTGATCTTATAGAGAATTGAGAAGCAAACAAAATACTCGATGGATACCTACTAAACGGCCGCAAGGACAGGATGGCACAGGCACGCGTTGCGCTGGGCTACGCGTTACGCTAAACTCCAAAGTCGCGAACATGACACGCTAGCGGCTCCCTTCGATAGTTCTTTTTGCAACGTGCACGGCACATTCCTTCCCCAGGACTTCGACGAATGGTTCTGCACTGCGGTATCTCTCGAGGGTTGAGCACAAACCTCATCATGATCTGTGGTCGTTGTCAGGCATGCGTGGAAATGAAGCTATGTGTGGCGGGGCTTCTCGACCCCTCGGCGCAAATCAGTCTGTATTGATCCTCTACTCTCCTTGGAGCGGCTGGCCATTGCCGCCCATTGTGATCGTCTTTGTGACAACGTATTCATCGATACCAAGATGGCTTCCCTCTCGTCCAAAGCCAGACTCTTTCACGCCTCCGAAAGGTGCGGCAGCATCGGAGATGAGACCGGTGTTAACACCAACCATACCAACCTCCAGAGCTTCAGCTACCCTATAAACTCGCTGGATGTCTTTGCTGAAGAAGTAACCCGCAAGACCTACGTCGGCCGCGTTGGCTAGCTTGACAACGTCGGCTTCGGTATCGAAGGGGAAGAGTCCGGCAACAGGGCCGAAGGTCTCATCTTTGGCAAGCTGCATGTCCTTGGTCATATCGCGGAGGACTGTGGGTTGGTAAAAGTTCTCACCAAGATCAGGTAGCTTTTGTCCACCGAACAGGACCTTGGCGCCGTTCTTGACGGCATCCTGGACGTGGGCGTCCACCTTGTCGACGGCACGGTCATGGATGAGAGGCCCGTGTGTAGTGCCCTCTTCGTAGCCGCCACCAACCTTGAAGCTCTTAACCTTTTCGGTGAACTTTGTGCAGAACTCATCATAAATGCCAGACTGAACATAAATTCGGTTGGCGCATACGCAAGTTTGGCCTGAAGATCGGAACTTGGATGTGATAGCTCCGGTCACGGCTGTCTCCAGGTCGGCGTCGTCGAAGACGATGAAGGGTGCGTTTCCACCGAGCTCAAACGAGAGCTTCTTGAGTGTATCCGAGGACTGCTTCATCAGAAGCTTGCCGACACCTGTCGATCCTGTGAATGACACTTTCTTGACAGTCTTGCTCGATGTGATTGTCTCGCCGACTTCAGGTGTGTTCTTGAGTGCGGTAACGAAGTTGACGACACCCTTGGGAATTCCAGCTCGGTGCGCAAGCTCGGCGAGAGCAGCCGCTGTAAAAGGCGTCTCACCGGGAGACTTTGCGACGACGGTGCAACCAGCTGCCAGAGCTGGGCCAATCTTTCTCGTGATCATAGCTGCGGGGAAGTTCCATCTGACAGCATTAGCCATAATCCTTCCGAATCAAGTGCGAGACTTACGGTGTGATCAATCCAACAACACCAACAGGCTCCTTGATTGTGAACACTCGGTTACCAGCGACCGTCGCCGGGATGGTGGCTCCGTACATGCGCGGTGCCTCCTCTGCGAACCATTCGTAGAAACTCGCGGCGTAGTTGACCTCTCCCTTAGCGTCTGCCATGGGCTTTCCGTTCTCCCAGGTTATGAGCTTGGCCAGATCATCCGCATTATCCATCATCAATTGGTACCATTTCCGTAGGAGCCGTGAGCGCTCGCGACCGGTGAGTTTGCGGAAGGAAGGGAGTGCGGCGGCTGCTGCTGCGATGGCGGCTTCGGTGTCTGCGCGGTCCATCTCAGGCATGGTGCCTATGAGCTTGCCTGTTGCTGGGTCTGCTGCGTGTTAGAGGGGTTCTAGAGGACTGGTGGGGTTGGAATACCATTGACCTCGAAGGTCTTGCCTGACTTTGCATCTATCCATTCTCCGTTGACATATGTCTGGTTCTTCAAGAGAGACTTGTCGTTGAGCTGCATGCGGTCAGTAGCTGGTCGTTGCGGATGATCGCGCAAACGAAGTAGGAACATACTGGTGGTACTGAGTGGCCCATATTTGCGTATCCTCGAGAGACAATTGATGGTAAGGATCTCTTCTGAAAGTGACTTCTGTAAGCTTGTTGACGTCCGAGAGATCGAGTTGCTGTCACAATAGAGCGCATGGCGTCTGGAAGTGGGTGTGAAGATCGATTATAAACTACCGCGAACTCGGCCACTCTAAAGGCGGCACGCGTGGAAATAAAGATAGCTTAGCCCACCCGAAGACGTCAATCTCTCGTAGACTAATATTCAGATAGGTCTGGCGGAGCTTTGGGAGCCTATGACGTTGGGCAGAGCTATGGCCAAACTGCGGGGTTCGGCTTGTTCTGGTGGGATGGCATCGATGCGGACAGCACCTGGGCACGGAGGCAGCTCCGCAGTGCTAAATGACAACGTAAGAATAATGAGCTGTGTATCAAGAAGCTTCCAATTGGAGAATCTGCATGCGAGATTCCAGTAACTTTTGCCATTCCTTCAAGGAAGGGTGACATGCTAGGCAGAGTGTTCGCGTATATGGCGTATACAGCGTCAAGAGCGTGTACTTTGTTCGGAGATTGCGACATTAGTGAGGCATGCTGAGTATACCTGTGTAAGCTGGACTAGAAGAGGGCGGTTGATTGCTGACTTGGAGAGGATCCGATATCAAAAGTGGTTGGACTGTCCCTTCCTCACTATCGTGGGGCCTATTTGGGGCTGGTCTCTAACGATCGTCGAGATGGGCCCCGACGATGCACGAGTGTGGAAGCTCAAAGACACACCAATATCCTACCCGACGGCGTTGGCGCATAAAGTCGCTTGAACCAGCGTAAACATAACGATAATTTTCCTGGAATTCTTTTGCAAACAAACCCAGCCAGCGCCCAGGGCGAATGTGGTCTAAGTCTAGTCGATGTTCGCGGCAACATGGAGCAACCACCCGACAACCTTGGAAGGTACGAAGCACCCACCCTAACATGCCCGCGGGCACCTTGAACCCACAAACACAACAATTGTTCGATGAAAACCATTGCCCCCCGCAAAGAATTATATACATGTAAGTTGCGCTGTTTGAGGATGTTATCGGTCACCGCGGGAGTATGGACGTCTTCCGACGAGCACAACAACAGTCGTGTATGACATATCTACAACGAAACAAACATCCGATCTCTGCAAATGCAAACTGATTCCAGACTTATGCGTCATGAGTTGTTTGCTCAGGGGTGGCGTTGAACTGGGTCGCTCCAGCACGTGGTGCACGTGCATAGTTCGCTCTTCCCCACACATGGCAGCGAGCTCTAAACGCATTAAGCTTTTAGAGCCGCATGTCGATCATGCAGGAACCGACAGCAGCAAGAGCTACAAGTCGAAAAGAAAGGGCTCAAATAGCAGTCCAAGACGTGGCGGAAGACTCCCGAAAAGTTGCGGAATTTGCTCACTGGATATCAACTCGACTTTTGCTGTGCATTTTGACACATTTTGTATTGTTAAAAGTTGAGAAATAAAGGCATTTGCTATTGTTGTGGTTGTGCATCTAAAAAGTGTTCCTTGCTCTGAATTCGGGTTGGGGTTTAGCGCGCTTAGGATTGGACAGGCCTTCGCGATCGCACCCCAACACCACACGCCCCTCGACCACGTCTGTCTATCTCGACTATTTCGCTTCTCAGTGTCATTTATCAAGACACTGGTTCTGTTTGAAGCCGCTTTCTTTGAGTTCTGCGTCGTCTTGACCGGTGCATCGCGCGCTCGACATCGTTCCCACATTCACAACAACACGACGCCCAGGCGACACGCCAGGCGGCATCGCGCACACCTTCGCCATCATCGGCGCACATGCAGGAGACGGTTCCCCTGCATCTAATGCCATCTTGGAGCTTGTAAAATCCACACAGGCGGTGTAAGCGCGCTCTCACCGCGACGCATCCCCGAGGCCGCGCACTCACAACATCCCGCAGGACCGCATTAGGCCTCACCGCGACGAGTCCCCATGTCTAGCCGAGCGAAGCGCAAGTTCGACATCGACCCCAACGCCTCCGACCCGGACGACTACGATTACGACGACTCGGAAAAACGCGCCGCGCCCCAACGGCGCCGCACCCGACACACGCCTGGAGCTAAGAAGAAGTCTTCCAAGCGCCAGCGACGCGCATACGGCGGCTCTGACATTGACGAAGACGACGAGATAGAGTCCGAAGATTCCTTCTCAGAGCGCTCCGAGTCGGAGGAGCCCGAGATCAACCCGGCGACAGGCAGAAGCGTGCGCCGCGCCACCAAGAAGCAGATCAAGTACGAGGAGAGCGAGGACGAGATCGAAGATACGCCGTCCGAAGACGATTCGCCCAAGCCCGCATCGCGACGCCGGGCGCAGCCGTCTATCGAAGAGGTCGAGAAGCCTTCGCTCATCGTGAAGCTGAAGATGCCCGACCACGCCTCCGGTCGCAATCTGCGCACTCGCACAGGCAGCAAATCCCTTGCGCGCGGGAAGACACCTGAAGTGCATGGCACGCGACGCAGCACTCGCCTGTCGCACGATGTGGAGGAACCCATTGTCCAGCTTTCGGATTCCGGCAGGCACGTCAAAGTCGTGCGCGAAGGCACGCGCAGCCCCGAGCCCGTCATCGCCCGTGCCACTCGAGGCGGCAAAGGCCCGCGAGTCCAACATCCCAGCGCTATCATGGAGGCCTCCCAGGAGACGTCGATGATACGCGACGACAGCCCTGGTCCCCTCGACGCGCTTCTCGTCGACGAAGAGACCCAAGTCAAAGCCAGCAAGGACAGTTCACCTGCGCAAGAAGCCCAACAGGACGATGCCGAGGGCGAAGACGACGATGATATGGAAGGTGTCATCCAAGAGTCCCAGCACGACGAAGCCGCTGCTGAGGATTCCGAAGAGGAAGGGCCCGTCACCCGTGGCGGTCGCAACACCAGGGTATGTTTGACTGGCTATACGTGTTTTCCGCAACTAACGTCTCTTTCCAGAACCGTGCTGTTTCAGCCAAACGCAAACGAGGCGCCGATGAAAGCAGTGACTTTGAACCTGCAGCAGACGACGAAAAGGAAGAGGAAATGTCCGAGTCGGAACACGAAAAGGAGAAGCAGTCTGCATCCGAAAGTGCGTCAGGCTCTGGGCGGCGATCGACCCGCCAACGAGGGAAGACTCGGCAGTCACAGCGTAGCAGGCGCAACTCTTCTTCCGAAGAGTCAGGGTTAGACCAAGACGAACTGCAGGATGAGCTACAAGACTTGGAGTACAATAAACGACGGCGCCTCTCTCGACGTAATCCTGACAAGGACGTGGCGTACGAGGAAGCGCCCAAACGCCGCGCTCGCGCCGCAGGCGTGGATTACCGTGTTGTTCGACCGGAGCAGAACGCTGTCTTCGAGAACGATGACGATGATGGCCCTGCTCCGGAGCGACCTAGGGCAAGAGGTGGACGATCTACATACAAAAGCCTGTGGCGTAGTCAGGGCCCCTTCGGTGGTGGCGTCGAGGCTGGCATGGGAGCTGCAGGTGGTGATTCCGATAGTAGCGACGATGAGAACCAGAAGATGCCCAAGCCTGTCGGCGGCGCAATTGGCATGACGCCAACCACCGCGACCGCGCCCACTTTCGGGTTCCCTCAGACTCACAATGCAGATCCGAAGCAAGACTCTGGCGGCGGCCCTGCCAATCTGGGCAAGGTCAAAGACAAGAAGGCTCTTGCAGATTCAGACCCTCTTGGAGTTGACCCGAACGTCAACTTTGATGGTGTCGGTGGACTGGACGACCACATCAACAAGCTCAAGGAGATGGTCATGCTTCCATTGCTGTATCCTGAGGTGTTCCAACGCTTCAAGATTACGCCGCCACGAGGTGTTTTGTTCCACGGTCCGCCCGGTACTGGTAAGACGCTTCTTGCCAGAGCTCTCGCTTCGAGTGTCAGCACTCACGGACAGAAGGTCACCTTCTACATGCGCAAGGGTGCTGATGCCCTGAGTAAATGGGTTGGTGAAGCTGAAAGGCAGCTTCGTCTGCTGTTCGAGGAGGCGCGGAAAACCCAGCCAAGTATCATCTTCTTCGATGAAATCGATGGACTTGCGCCTGTTCGCTCTAGTAAGCAAGAGCAAATCCACGCCTCGATTGTCGCTACTCTACTCGCTCTTATGGATGGTATGGATGGTCGCGGACAAGTCATCGTGATAGGCGCCACCAATCGTCCCGATTCCGTAGACCCTGCACTGCGACGTCCTGGACGATTCGACCGCGAGTTCTACTTCCCGTTGCCAGACGTTGCGGGCCGACGTTCCATTATTAACATCCACACTAAGAACTGGGAGCCACCTCTGAAGCCGGAAATGAAGGATCAGCTTGCCGAACTAACCAAGGGTTATGGAGGTGCCGACCTTCGGGCGCTTTGCACAGAAGCGGCTCTCAATGCCGTACAGGGGACTTACCCTCAGATTTACACTTCTGAAAAGAAGCTTCTGATTGATCCCAGCACCATCAAGATCCTAGCGAAGGATTTCATGATCTCAGTCAACAAGATGGTGCCATCTTCTCAACGAACAGTCACGGCTAGTGCAGCACCACTGGCAAAGAACATCGAGCCATTATTACGGAAGCCACTAGCCGCGATCCTCAAGCGCATAGACGAACTCATCCCACGGAGGAAGAAACTCAGCGCACTCGAGGAAGCAGCGTACGATGACCGCGACGACGAAAAGGGCTTCGAGCGCGAAGCCACCATGCGCAACTTCGAGAGCAGCAGAATCTTCAGACCCCGTTTGCTCATTAGCGGTCTTCAAGGAATGGGCCAGCAATATCTTGGTGCTGCTCTCTTGAACAAAATTGAAGGTCTGCATGTTCAGTCCTTCGACCTTCCCACTATTCTTGAGGACTCCACGCGAGCACCTGAGGCAGCCATTACCCAGCTGTTTACAGAGGTCAGGCGGCACAAGCCTAGTGTCATCTACATCCCTTCAGTCGATGTCTGGTATCAGACACTGCCTGCCCAAGCCATCAAGACCTTCAAGCTACTACTGCGAAGCGTTGGCGCGAACGAACCGATCATGCTGCTGGGTGTCATGGAATTGCTCAATGAGAAGGAGAAGCCTGATCGCCAGATGATGATGGATCTTTTCTCCTTCTCACAATCCAATCAGTTCCATCTTATGCGGCCAGACCAAGAAGGGCGAGCAGAGTTCTTCAACAGCATCAGTCACTACATCCGCATGTCTCCAGCAGACTTCCCTGATCCGGATAACAGGAAGAAGCGAATCTTACCTGAACTTGAGGCTGCACCTATCGTTGCTCCAGTGGTTGACCCTAAGGAACTTGCTGCCCGCGAGAAGGCGCAAAAGAAACAGGATAGGCTCACCCTCAACAAGATGAAGATTGTCATTCAGCCCATCATGGACCAACTGAAGAGGAGTCACAGGAAATTCTTTAAGCCAATTCTGGAAGAATCCTGGTATGCTTATCTGCTCGAGGAGCAAGATTCTGATCATGTGCGATCAGACCTGCCACGTGAGCAACAAGAAGAGCAAGGCGTTGTCCGTCCGTGGGAATTTTCTAAGGATTCCAAAGGCGTCGACGTTCTGCTACACGTCGACAGCGGCAACAAATACTACAATCTGGATCTTGGTACGATCGAGAAGCGCTTGTCCAATGGTTACTACAAGCGCCCTGCAGATTACCTCTTCGACATCAAGACTCTTGTGAAGGACGCGAGGACTTTTGGAGATGCAGAGCGAACCCTGAAGGGCAATGAGATGATCACAAACGTTGAGGTCGATCTGGACAATTTCTTTATGCACCAAAACCCTGGGCTTCTCCAAGAGTGTGAAGCAGTCTACCAGCGCGAACTCGAAAGAGAGAGGAAGGCTCAAGAGAAGCGGGAGAGAGCCATCGCCGCAAACAAGGATTTCGAAGACGTCGCACGCGTACCTCCAGAACAGTCTATCGGTACCACCGAAACTTCAGGGCCTATCACTCTGGGTGAGCCTGTTCCTGGCCGTTTGGCCATGCCACCGGTAACCCCGCTGCGAGCCCCTCATGCTGAAGGTCTATCCAATGGCACGAGTGGCGAAGGCACACAGCACGCAACGAATGGTTCTACTGCGCCTTCCAACGACGACACTCATATGACTGACAGTCAGGATCTGAATGCCAATACACAGCACGACTTTCAATTCCAGACACCGAGCAGAATTGAGGGCCAGGGAACCCAAACGCAAAAGTCGCAGATGTCCGGGCGGACCTTCATGGCACCGAACTCGCATCCCAACGACTACCACAACAGTGCATCCACCACGACTTCTGGTCAGAAGACGTCGAACAGGTCTTCGGATAACAAGTTTGGCACTCAGAGTAGCAACGGCGCTGCACCATCTGGCGTCCCCAATTTCTCAGAGATGATGCCGGAGCCCAACGGGTCGCAGCTTCCCGACACACAAGGTTCGCCAACCCCCTTCCACCAGCGACTCCAGGTCTCCACTCGCTTCTCCCCAGAGCACAACACTGACCACATTTCAAATACAGAAGTCCACTACGTCAGCAGCCAGCCATCGAACTCGCAGCCATCGCAACCTTCTCAATCGTCTCAGCATGTTACTTCCATGCCTGCGCCTGCACCTCCGCACCACTCGAATCTTAATCAGATCCTCAATGACGAGGAGCCGAAGCCGCAGCTCATCCTCGACGACAGTATGGTCATTGCGCTGCATGACAAACTGGTCCGCTCGACATCTGGATGTTCGCTCGAGCAGTTGGAGCAGATCAACGCCGCGCTTATGGATGCTATCTGGAAGCACCGCTCAGACTACAATCGCAACCTTGTCCTTAAGGAGGTCACCGAGGCGTTCAACGTCATCATCAAAGACATCGAGACGATGCAAGAAATCCTCAAGTCAAGCCAAGAAGAGGAAGAGGCCGAATTACGGCGGCAGTACCACTCCACACAAGACGACTGGTTCTCGCAGACACAGGCGCGTCGTTGAGCGTTGGCATAATGTGTAAATACCCATCTTTATGTGGGGAAGTTGGTCCGTTTGGCTGGCATCGCGCACGGTGTTTGGCGCAGGCAGGGAGGCTTATCTGAGCGTCGCGTTGGCACGCATTGTTTCTTGGAGGTTATGGCATTCTTTACGCGTTCTCCTCATTACCCTACTCATGTACTATGACCCACTTTTCCTTGTTCTGTTTGTCGAGGAATGCATGCATGGTTTGCATTGGGGTGGGGGGGTTTTCTGGTGGTTGGTCTGATCGCGCATTTGACGTGCGGCGCTGGGGTGGCGGAAGAGTAGGTAGAGAATTGATAGCGCTTGCCGCGCATGAATAACTTCTTTGTACTGCGTAACATGAAACAAGTGCTTGCCATGAAAATAGTATGGTCTAATATTCGCGCTGTAAACCAAAAGCTAAGATATCATGACTAACAGAGAAAACAGTGGTATCCAATATGCCATCCATGCGCCACTCCCATGGTTTCACGAGAAGTGAATGTTGCACAGGCAAGAGCTCACACATGGTTCTCAGCTAATACACGAACAGTACAACGAACACTCAAGCTGAATAAGGGTACGTGGCAAATAAGGACAGTATTTTGTCACCCAATTTTATCACAAAATGCTAGTCGTATGCATCAGTTCAAAAAGGTAGAATGTGCGGACAAAGAATACTTCAAGTACTTTCATGGTACTGAGCCAGCCATCCCTCTCTCCTGCTAACAGATATCACTTTTTCGGCTCTTCCTCTTCGTCAAAGAGCGCGGCGATATCTGGATCATCCGTCTCCACCATGCCTACAGCGTCCTCTGCCTCGAGGTCTTCCCACACCCTTCCCAAAATAGCAGGGTCGATCCCTGATAGATCGGTATTCGCCAACTGCACTCCCTTCCGAAACATCACGCGGAGATCCGCAGACGCCTCGGCGCGCAAGTTCTTCACTTGACTCAAAACCTGGGCCAGGCGCTTCTCCAATACCTCCACGGTTTCTGAATCCAAGCCGACGACAAGAGATTCTTGTGGCCTAGCTTCATCAACCCTCTGAACTACCACAGGCAACGGTGAGGTTGGCTGTGGTGACAGGTTCTCTTCCTGAGAAGACGGCCGCCCAACCCTACTTGATGGAAGAACGCCAGGTAACTGGGATTCTTCACCACTGAGTTCAACGGGCACTACATCGTGATTTCGATGCGCACTCCCGTTTTCCTCTTCCTCTTCCTCCTCGAGTTCAGCGGGCACTACATCGTCATTTCGATGCGCACTCCCGTCTTCCTCTTCAGCCGCACCGACGTGTTGTGCGTCTCTACGACGTAGAACACTCGAGCGCTGCATACTAGACGGCAGCGGCGGCATGAGTATATCCGAAGATGGATGTCTCCCTGGTGGCACATGAAATGCCTGCCTGTTCATACCCATAGTCGCTCCGCCTCGACCCCTAAATAGGCCGTTGTACGCATGGCTGGGGCGTCGTTCCACCAGCGAAGGGGTCTGGGGATCCTGCGCGATACCGTCATGCCTACTCGGCGAAGTCATGTCGTCGTTCGGAGTCGACGCGCCCTGGCCAGTCATGGCAGAAAGTCGACGCTGGAGAGCGTTGCCACCATGTGCAGGGGTTGCTGCATCCTCCGCGGATACGTCTGTTGGCGTTGGTGTTGGCATTGGCGTTTGAGCTTCGCGAGTCCGTCCTTGCATCAACTTCGTTTTCCAGCGGGGGTTCACATGCCCACTGCCGGTGTAAGGCGATCCGCCTTCGGATGGGAAACCGGCATCCCAAAAGCTTGAGGGCGGGCGAGTCCTCGCCATCTTCCCGCGCGGCGCGTAGCCGCTGGGCGCCTCTTCGTCTTTGCGCTTTTTCGGCGGCATTGTAGTGGTTGGAGGTGGAGTGTTGAGTGAGTGAAGAGTTCCAGGGAAGAAGTGAGACTTCAGTCGTGCCTTCCTCACAACACGCCCCACTTATACTTAGCTCCGGCCACCGTGACCAAGGCAGGTATAACTACTGATCACATGTTAGGCGAAGCAAAAGTTGTTAGAACAAGAATGTTATGTCATAATACTAGTGGCAGAATAGCTACTTCACATGGCATTCAGTGCCATCCCGTGACTATACCACGGGCACTTACTCCCTGCTCAACATCCGTATACAATCCTGAACCCTTGTACCGGAAACGCGGGAGGCGCAACATTCGAGAATTCCCAGTAGTTCGGTGCAGATGGGCTGTCGTACATCATTGCCATCATAAACGACATTGTCTCGTTACAAGCCGTCTCGTCGATAGCCGCAACGCCGCCGACACTCCTTGTCCTCTCAAGCGCCTGGCTTTCGCCGTTGACCGTACCGAACAGCAAGGCGTTCTTCTCCGCCTCATATGTATTCCATGTAGCGATCGCACCGGCTTCGCGCTCGACTTGGTATACGTGAAAGCTTGGGTTCGGGCCAGAGATCTTCTGGAGCTCAAGGCGGGGGAGGACAAATTCGAGACGGCAGGTGTAGTTCGACGTGCTGTTCGGTAGGCCTTGAAACTGTACACGTGTGGCAATTTCTCCAGCATCTTTGACCTGACGACGTAGCATGAAGAACTGCTTTGCTTGGTGTAGGTGGTCGACGTCGTAATCGGGGTAGCGCGCGTTGATGACGGTGAGATCGGTTGGGTAAACTTCGTGGCATACGTATTCTCCCGAACCGAGGGGAGGAGGGTTGACGGCGTTGGGATCGCCTTCGCAAAAGCGGGCGGTGGAGTTGCAGATTGTGTTGTTCGCGAGCAATGTTGAGTTTGGCTGTGGGTATGGTACGCCAGAAGCGTGTTGCGAGAAGAGTGCAGCGAAGCATAGAAGAGCGGCGCGGAACATCATCTTTGGATGGGAGCGTGCCGTGAATCGTCTCGAGAGGGCTGTCTTGGTAGCTGAAGTGTAGGCTTGTTGGAGCACTGAACAGGAGTGTCAGAGTATGACTAGAATCTTAGGTAGTGTGCGATCAGTAGGAAGAAATGGGTGATAGAAGAAGTGTCTTGAGTGTTGAGGGTGAGTAGCTATATATGCCAGACACGTTGTATTGTCCACCTATCGAGCCTTCCTCCACCTCTCATGTCTGGCATGAGTAGCCCTCCATGTGGAAAGCGAGATGTGCTGCGTGGGTTGAGGGAACAAACTGGTAAGCGCGAGGAAACCGTGGTAACTCGCTGCTACTCCACCAAGATGCGTCTCGAAGCACGTTTGTCGTACCTAACGCGCAATTATCGACAATTGCCAATCCGGGAAACAGCTTTGGAGTGTTGCTGAAGGTCGTCCCATCGCGTTCAAGCCGCGTGCTGATGACGGTTATGAGCCATCATAAGCGACACCATCTTGGCCTTTGGCTGGCGATCATAAGAGCTCGGAGATATGTAAATCCTTCGCCAACGCGACATTGTTGGCGTTGTGTGTGTACGAGCGGATGTACAAGGCGTTGGGTTGCGATTGCCGATCGTGAGAGATGGCCCCGGGGAGCCTGGAGATGACGGAGGCAGGCTTAGTCAGCCGGCACTAGTTCGCGACGCGATACTGACGCGACCAGCGTGCAACTTCCATTATCCGCTCACATAACCACCATACCCACAACAGTCCATCGCGCTTGCATCTACGGGCACTTTCCGAAGGCTATGTCAATGGCTCGAGTCACCGCCATCAGTCAGCCAGGAACAATTTCGAGGCTGTTCATCCCCCGATAAGAAGGCGTGACAGAGTGGCGACTACTTTCGTCCGACGACAATTCCCTTCTGATCGGGTCGAACGGGAGCTCGGAAATGATGGAGCTTCTGGGTGGTGCAATGGGTCGAATTGGGCCCTGTGGCATGCCCAGCACCCTCACGCCCGAATAGACGACATGGCCGCGTCCATCCACCGCGATGATCTCCAGGGCATCCTTCTGCTCTTCTATCATGATTGAGATCGTTGAAGATCCGATATTGTTGCTCTGCAGCTCGACTTCCCACGTTGTTGTGTGGGCAGTGGAACATGTCAAGCCACCCCCAAGTGCGCCCTGAATTGTCAGCAGCTTCATCTTGTCTCTATTCCTCTCCCTTTCTACAACCACTAGAAACCTGCCGTTGAAGCTCGCAACTCCAGCGACAACGCTCGTACTGACTATCCTATCAGGAATGGGTCTTATTGGTTGACGGAGAACGTGTGGATCGAAGCCGAGAGTGTCGACTGCCACGAGGAAGGTCGCTGGGAGGTGTGAACGTGGTTGGTGGTCGACGGTGCAGAGGATGTAAGGTCGACCGTTTGGAGAGATGGTAAAAGCCGCGTCCGTTATCTCATCGCGATATGCCTGCCTGGAGTCAGCCTTGCACCGGGCCTTGGAACATGTCACTTACGCGTTCATTACTTCTCGCATTGCAGTCAACGTGCCAGCAAGGATCCAGGCGAGCGAGAACCCAGCAATACAAGTGATTCCCTGTTGTCAAAGCAAACACCATTGGCCCATAGATGGCATCACTTCGACAGGGCGAGAACCCAACAATCTTGACAGCACCGTTGTTTTGAGGACACTTCAGGACTACATGGTCGCCCTGAACGTTCCAGGCCGGCATGTACCTGTATGTAAAGATCTTCACTGCACTCACTCCTTCTCCACCCACTGCGATGCTCGCCGTTGCCCCTCCCTCGGCAGACTGGCGTCCAAGTTGTGAGATCGACACGGATCTCGGGGTCCAGTTTCCGTCCTGGTCAATCCGCTCTTCTCTCACGAGGCTAGGCACATGGCCGTTGTTTGTGCGATACTCGTCATACACCAGCAATCGATTGTGGGTGATCACTGCGAGCAGATCATCCGAGAGAGCAATTCCACGGATATCCTCATCTTTCAGAATCATCGAAATATTCAAGACGGCTTTGGGCTGGATAGTCCGACTTCTGTTCGCGCTCTTCACGTCGTATAACCGTATCTGCTTCGATGAGCATGTTGCCACCCATCCTAACGATGAGATGGACGTCGCGACATCGGGCGCATTCAGAAACGACAGCCGCCTTGGTCGTTGTAACAGATTACTCGACTGCGATCCTGATGAGGCTGAATACACCTGGAAGTAGTCCATCGCTAACGACGAGCGACGCGCCGAAGGGCCGGTAGAGCTGCTGGATATGGACATCGTCAATGCACTCTAACTGCAATCATCACTGGGAAACCGTTAGCTGGGTGTTAACCAAAGCTTCATCCCTGGAGAGCCTTGAATGTATGTAGGTCAAGGACGTGACACTATCTGACATACTTTCAGCTCGCGATCTCGTCTGCATGCGGCGTACCCGTTATCAGCTGCATTGGCAATATCCTGTTTGTATTGCACAGGAAGTCCACACAGAACGCCCGCCCAGAGGAAAGCAATAATCACTATGGGGGACGCTGTCTCCACAATGTAGTTCGGCCCTATCAATTACCATAGTTGTCGCCTAGCTGCAACACGTAGCCTGAAATGTACACCGGAACGCGACTAAGGCGCGGCTGAGAGGACGTCCTGCACCATCCACCAATGTTTGTCGACCGTGGCGCACTTAGTTTGGCCTAGCAACCTTGTGCATACGAGCATGTGCAACCTTGGTTATCTTTCCCCGATATCCCGCCTTTCTGACCAATCACAGCAATACCAAGTCGCGTGCCCATGTACCGTCCTCATCACGAAGCCTATCTCTCCAGTCACTCTGGCGTTGGTGGGCAACACGCGAGGCAGACAGGGAGGCCGACCGGTATGGTCTAAGCCCCGCCACAGGTGGTTTGGGGAGTGAAGCTGAAGACGTGCCGAATGGAGGCCAAATAGTCACGAGGGTTTGTATTCGTCGCGCAAGCATCTTTTTCTAGTTCAAGGTCGCAGTCAACCTTCATAATTAGTTCGCAAATATCCTCAGCCTGACGAGGTCGTACTTCGGTACGGATTCGCCTGGGAATCCCACGCAAAATGGCTGAAGAAAAGCGTCCCCTTGACAGATCGCCATATTATGTGACCCACTCAGAACATCTTGACCGTGTTCTCAGTAGGCCTCAACTGGCGGGTAAGTGCCAAAGAAGTGAATCGACAAAGGCGCTGATTGCTAACTCCTCAGGTATTGGCATATCCGGTTGCATAGGTGGAGGAATCTTCATTACGTCCGGTGCACTGATCGCTACCACTGGATCTTTAGGGGCTGCTATCAGCTATGTAGTCGCAGGTGGTATTGTTGCTTGCGTCATGTACACTATCACTGAGATGGTTGCATGTCGACCGTTGACCGGAGCTCTCATTGATCTGCCTCACACGTTCTTAGACCCAGCCTGCGGTTTCGCTATCGCATCTATGTACGGGTGAGTATCGATAGGAAACTTCTGAAAGGCGTCGCTGACGACCATCAGGCTAGGCAAGATTTGTGCGATGGCTACTCTTACAGCGAGTTCGGCGGAGCTGACTGCGCTTCTGAAGAGCGACCCAAAGCCGCATTCTGCTGGTGCTGAGGCAGCTATCAATATCGCCTTCATCGCCCTGACTACCCTTTCTCACTGCCTCGGCGTCAAGGTAAGTTGTGCTCTTGAATAAGGACGAACTTGGCTAACGTTGTATTAGCTGTATGGCAAGATCGAACGAGTACGTCACCTTGAGCAAAACAGCACTAGGGGTAGCTCCAATCCGTGCCGCATTTTACAAAATCATCACTAAGCTAGAAGTATACGTTAGCTTAGAGCGTGTTTACTTGCTAAGAGTTAGCAATCTGTATGCGGCAACATGCGACACGGATTCGGTCACCCTGGTGACGGCTCTCGATACGAACAGCGAACTGACGAGCGTTTAGGTCGTCATGTGGTTCAAACTGAGCTTACTGGTCCTTGTATGTGTTATGGGTGTGGTCTTGAACTTCTCCGG